GGCAAAATATCGGCTTAAAAGCTTTGAATCACTTCGAACGGTTCCCTCGTAAGTAGAGAAATTCAAGGTTGAATTTTTTTTAATGTTTATTCCTCAATGAATCTACGTTGTGTGTCTCAAATTATTTAACAAGACTTTTCATACAATAGAGAAAGAGACACAAGTAGAATATATTATCATTCAATAAACACTCTCTTGTCTGCTATCTTGATGGAGTCTGCCGAATCTAAAAAGTTTTCTTTTTTGAATTTGATAGTCGCTTCGAAAGTGCAAAATATTTCCGTCGATTAGCATGACAGTGATCTTATAAGAATCAAATTATAATTGACTCTGATTTTCTGTAATACCTGTCGGATGCGTTTTATCCAGTGAAAAGGCCGATGCACGCCGTGCAAGACGGAGTTGACTCTCGAGAGATTGTAAATATTTTACTATGTATGTGTGTTTCTAAAAATAGGTATTCGCCTTCCAGGAAGATAAAACACTATCGAGGACCTATTCAAAGAACACTAGATCTTCAATAGAACTTATTTTTTTCTAACCTTGAACAACACCCCATGGATATTGTCTAGCTCGTACATATTGATTTCCAACTTTAACTGTTTCATTACTTCCAACAACAGCCAATGGAAGAAGATTCTTAAATAAATAAACAATTCAAAATTCAAAAAAAATATCTTTTCTTCTTACATTTGCTTTAAGATTATCTTCAGCTAATGTTTCATCATCAGTTGGAAAACGATAAATTTTAACACCAGCTGTATTAAGTTCATTAAGAATATTTTGTTTAAAACGTTGTAATTCACTTTTTGATATTGTATCAGATTTTGCTATAATTGGTATTATATTAACTTTACTATCTAAATGTTTCATTGTAACTAAATCAAGTGCTTTTAATGAATGACCTGTTGGATTAATAAAATATAAACAAACATGAATACGTGTATCATGATAATTTGATAAATTTCTTTTTATTTTAAGTTCTTCATCTAAATATGATTGAAATTGTGTATCAATAAAATCTCCAATAACTTTAAATGAATCATCTTTATTTATTTGATCACCAAAACCAGCTGTTTCAACAACAGTTAATTTTAAACGAATTTCACGTTCAAATAAATCATAAGTATTTTTACGTAAAAATACACGTGGTATATCATGTGTTGATGGTGTTGAATCTAATCGTGTATTAAATAAACTATCAAGTAATGAAGATTTTCCACATGCTGTTTCACCAACACAAAGTATATTAAAAACAAAACCATCTGATATAGCTTTAGCCATTATTTGATTTGGTAAATTATTTATGCCACATTCTTCTTTTAATTCAAATGTACGAATTGATGGAGTCTATATATTAAAAAAGACAATTAAATGAAATTATAAATGAGAATTGTTAAATTTTAAAAACCTGAGATTTTAACGTAGAAGGATCCGACGGACGAAGAACGTCTTTCATTATTTTTCTTTTTCGATATTTACGTTAAAGTTTTTTAATAAGATTTTGTTTTTGTGGTACTATAAGTAAGGAAATATTGGTTTATGATTAATGAATCCATTGGCATTTCGTAAGAAAAATAAAAAAGAACCAATAGAAAAATTAGACGATTTTATCTCTTTGTATTATGTTTTTATGATCATCATTCGATAGCATACGACATCTAGAGTTTAGTGGTTATATAAGATTATTTTTGATCAACACAGTTCATGTCAAATCGATTATAATATACACTTGATATTGATAATATAATAATTAAGTAATTAAAAAAGAAATTGTTAGTTTTGATATGATCTGATCTTACTGTTGATTAAACTTGTGACAGCTCAAGCTAGTGATAGTAACTAAGAAAAAGTTGTAGAAGTGCTTGACTTCCTGACCGTATCTGTAGATCCTTTGGTAACGCCTTTCTAGAGGGAGCTCAAACCCTTTTTTAAGCGAAATTCAACCATTGGGGTTTAGAAGGGAGCAGTTTGATTTTAGCCAAGAGTACTCAAATTTCAATCTTTTAAAACTTTTTCAATTAATGTTTTGAAGAACAAAAAGAAAAAAACATGAATTGAAAAAATGAAAACAGATCGAATATGGAAGAAGAGAATTATATGATAAATTTTTGATGGTACACAATAGAAATTCATATATAATGAACAAAATAAATTTACGTATTATCCTTCGATGAATTTCAATGTAGAACTATAACACCGAAACAACATATACCTGCCTTATGGAAAACTAGTCTATTCAAGCATATTTTTCTATTTCAAGAAAAACCTTAATAGAATATTGAAATGAGTGATCAACATAGAGAAAAATGATCAAGTTTAAGACTGTATTAGAAATATTATGTGCATGTAAGTTTGCTCAACTCGCAGTGTGAATTTTGCAGAAGCATATGTAATTCAATCAGTAGATGACGTATGACTAAGTTCTATGAAGATTATATTCAAATACTTTTCAAGCATAGAAATTGAAACTTTCTCTTAAGTAGTACATGATTGAATATCATCATTTTCAATATTTTGTTCACAATGTTCATGAAGATCAAAATATTGAAACGTTTGGTTAACTTTCATCAGTCAATGATGAATAAGAATTTGATGATCTTGTTACATTATCACGATCAATAGGAGCTTTAAAATAAACACAAGAATATAAGGAATTTTTATTACTGGCATTCA